TTGAGAAGAATGTGATGGTGATTGAAACGGGGCAATGGAAAATCAAAACTTGCGTGAAATAACACTGTGAAGTTTGGTAAATGTGCAAACGTTGGTTAAAGTGGTCGTAAAGATAGTTCTTTGATCATATTTTGCTTAAATTTACGCCTCTAGTAACCATAAATTTACACAGTAACTTTGCTATGCCAGAAAATATTAAGCAAACATTCACTTTTGCCGTTCGATTTTTACACAGAGAACAAAATGGCGGCAAATTTGAATCTAAACACCAAATTTACTATGGGGAGCAAAAGTGAAACAAAATATCTGTAAACTTGATATTTACTCCACATTTACGCCACCCTTGCAGAAAAGTAAACTTTCACTTTCGAACAAAATTTGCACCAAGAACAAATAAGTAGCAACATTAGTACCCTAAATTTACAATAGATTTGCTCAACTAGCAAACTTAGGCAAATCCGTTTTTTCGTCCAGTGCTAGCGTGAAAAGAGCTACTCTCCCTAGCAGTCGTTTTTTAGTATCGTCACGCAACGCTCCTCAAAAGTGGAAGCCAATCAAAACACTGCGTTTGACAAAATAATCGTTTCAAAACAAAAACACAAGCGCGCAAAGCCGTTTGGGTGAACATGGGCCTTTAAAATTAGTATGCCGTCAATGTTCATTAGCATTATCGTTACCATTATCATTACTATTATTATCACAATTGTTTCCGCTAATCACCGTTCTCTATTGAGTTACTGACAATAAACACTTTCACTGCCCTATCTCTCTTCACTTAATCTCTTCACATTTTTCTTTTCAGAAAGTTGTACTTGGTCATGGTTTCCCCGGCATTCCAGGATCAAATGGCATGCCGGGAATACCAGGCGTGCCAGGAACGCAGGGGCCCCAGGGAAGGGAAGGTCCAAAAGGGCAGATCGGTGATAAGGGATCACAAGGAACGCCTGGTCCAAGAGGAGACAGAGGGCGCGAAGGGCCTCCCGGGAAAAGCGGACCGCCCGGAATCATGGGAATTAAAGGTGAACCGGGACTTCTGGGAATGAAAGGAGAGCCAGGCATTGTGAGAAATCAAGGAAGAAAAGGAGACAAAGGAGAGAAAGGAGAAAGCGTCAAAGCAAGTAAATCAAGTGTAGTACCACAAACCAACTGGAAACAATGTGTGTGGAAATCAGAATCCAATACTGATAACGGGAAGATTAAGGTAAATTGAGAATTTGATAATTAATAACTTTCATAAGAAAGTAAATGATATCAATAGGGGAAAAGAGGTGGGGAGTCAGATAATCCAACAGTTATAAGTTTATAATTCGTCTTTTCTGAGCCTTAATCCCCTTTTAGCGTGTCACACCTGAATTTTTATGCCCTTTCTTGTTTAGTATTTTTTCAGTACGGTTGTCTTTTTTTCAGGACTGTGCTTTCAACAAACTGAAGTCAGATACAGCGCTAAGAATCTCTTACCAGGGAAACACAAGATCCTATAGTCAAAATAAGTGTAATCGCTGGTATTTCAAGTTTAATGGAAATGAGTGCAGTGGACCAATGACGATTGAGGCTGTTGTTTACAACAACTGGCCATCTGGGAGACTTAATCAGTTGCATCATCGATCATTTTAGGGATACTGTGAAAACATCCCACAAGGAGCGGTTACAGTGGAATTATGGATCGGAAAGTGTAGTAACGAACACTTGGCTGATGCTTACACTGGGTGGAAGTCAGTGTCCCGCATAATGATAGAAGAAGTTGCTAGGCCCCAGTCCTAATACCCCTTTTGGGAGGCTGCTTCCCTCCAGTAGCGTCCAAAAGAAGTTCCTCTTGAGTAATTAAGCTAACGATAATGTACATTTAAGATTTAATTGAAAAATAAGGGGAAATAGAGATAACACCAAACAACAGTTAGAAGATAAGAAACCTGTGCGTAGCCACCGTTAATTGTTATAATTATTATTAAAGTCAAGCCATTCAGTGAAAAAATTGTGCACTTAGGGGTAAAAGCACCAATTTTGGCAAGGTAATAGTGCTTGGGCGGATGAACAATACTAGCTATGGACTCCAGTCAGGGAGAAAAATGTTGTAGTCTTGGGTTGGGGTGGTGACAGTTTCCAAAGCCGAACTAGCCATATCACTTAGGCGCGCGTGCTGTCCTAAGGACGTTTAACTAAAGTCTTACTCGTCTAACTTTCTGAATGGCATGGGCTGGAGGGTTTGAACACAGCTTGGGGGGGGGGGGGGGGGGGGGGGGTTTGGTTTTTTGTTTGTTTAAATAATTAGCTGGGGAAGAAAAAAAAAAGAACCTCCCCAAAACACCGGCAAAATTGGAAGTAATTAAGTGATAAGTTTCTTCTCTGCCCTATTCATTCATCTTGCTGGGGGGGGGGGAGGGGAGGGGGAGGCG